ATATTCTACTACTATAAATAAAAAATAAAATATTCACTTCAAACATTTGATATTTACTCAAAAACTGCCTTCTAAACTCTCCTTGGACTTTTAAGCAAAGTTGCTGGCCTGGTCCTCCCGGTCATAACAAGCTATGTTTCATCCAAATAGCTGCAAAATTGAGCTCTCCAGAGTTTAAAACGGCAAAAAAATTTTCAAAAAACGCCTAAAAATTTTTCCTCTTTGCCCCAAAAACTCTATTTTCATATCCATGGATTTGTGGAATTGAGCCTTTTTTTGAACTCTAAATGTATATTAATTTGTAAAATTAGCCTCTTTTTTTAGATCTAATCTAAACAAACATTACACTAAATTATTAAAAAACAAATTTTACAAATAAAAAAATTATATATACAAAAACATCAAATCAATTATCCAAGTCTAAAACTAATTGTTCTTTTTTAAATCTACTTAGGTAAGAATAAAATGTTACAAACATTATAAATAATAATATAAAATTAATTTAACTTTTAAATCTACAAGTAATTTAATAAATATATATTCTGTTTGTTAATAATGATAAAGTTAAGTATTAGCATGACTTAGTTTCTATATTTTAACTATACAGTTTACTAATTATTATATTAAATTTTATTTATAAGTGTTTGAGTGTAAAATTTGCAGAACTTTGTATAAAACAAAGAGAGGTCTTACTCGCCATCAGAGTATTATCCAAAAATATAATATTCGTCGTGAAGAATTATGCATATTACTATTAGAAGCAATCAATCAATTTAAATCAGACCTTGTTTATATTATCGGAAGCAAGCTTAAAGAATACTATATGAAGTCAGACAAACAAACATTTTCATTTCCGTGCTTAGAAAGTTTATTTTTTGAGGTTTTTAAAGGACATATTCATTATTTTAATTGTAGAAATAGTTGTTATAGATGTTTTTTTCATGGACTAGAATCATATATGCAATTAGCTAGTCTATTTAACAATTTGAATTGGGGGCGCAAGTTTTTTGACAATGAACAGCAAACATTTGTTTTGTTGTTTGATGCATAGGCTGAAAAACAAATCAATTACAAAAAAAAAAATTACCAAAACTAACTATCGAGTAGAAAATCAAAAGCAAAAGAGATGCTAAAGATAATCAAACTTCAGCTGGCTATATCTATTTAGGTTTTTATATGCAGCAAATTTGAGTTATAGAATTAGATTGTGGAGGTTTTTTTTTTCCAAAAAAAAAAAAAACAGATATATAAATATATTGTAACTAGAACATAGAAAATATAAGCAAAAATTAAATAGCTTAATCTTAGCCTAGACAAATATGATATTTTGAGAAATTTTATAACATTTAAATTGTTCATCCTGATTTAATTTGCTATTTTATAAGTTGAGTAAATCGAGTTAAGTACTGCAGAGATTTAGTAAGTATAACTGTAATTTGAAAGAATTATCTTTTTAATATTATCTAAATACTTTAATGATTTGTAGTATACATATTTATTTTTTTTTTTACTATTTCTTATCCATTACACCATTTTGCAGGCAAATTTTCCTGTCAATTTTTGAAAAAATATTCTCTTTCTAGCAGATTAATATAAATCACAATTTAAGGATATATAGTATCTTAAGTAGGCCAAATTATCTATTCGAGAGCTTTCCTCTAATATTACTTTTGTAAGTATATAACCTTTCTATTCTTTTATTTCTTCACTTACTTTTTAAAAATCACAGGCTTGTACTAAAAAATGCAAAATGCTGACATAGTTAAAGATCAATTATTATTATTAGAACTTTCAATTTTAGTCCTCGTTAGGTTTTTTGTATTATGATATAACTGCGCAAGAAATGCATGTGATAAAGCATGACTATTGATTGAGTTAATTGAGTATCTGCTAGCAAGAGAATTTTGCTGCACATGCTTTACGTATAAGGGATAAAAGAAAAGAGCGAACTTATTTAATAACTAACGAATAAACTTGTTGAACTTAACAGGAAAAAAAGGTTAAACACATTCACAAAAATAAAAAAAAAAAATGATTATTTAATCCTTTAGAGATTCTTTTTTTTAAAAAATTAGTTTAATTTCCAACTTAATCATAGATTAAATCATTTTTTATAATTCAGTTAGCCAGTATTTATAAAGATCTGTCTTAGTATTATTCTCAGATTGTTTTTAAAACAAGTTACATATCAAAACGTAGTATAGAAGTACCTATAACTTCTGTAATAGTTCCACTAGTACTTCTAAAAACATTCTAAAATAATAAATAAATAACTAATGTAACTGAAGGTTCAATATACAAATAACTATTAATATTCTATATCGATAATAAATGATCCAGAGTAAGTAATTAAAAGTTTCATATTTCGTAATTATATAGACTATTTCTTTGACTATATTAATATGTAATAAATTTGAATTAAATATATTATTCGCTATTTACTTATAGGTTATCTTTGTCATATATAAGATGAATCGAAAAGTACATAATTGGTTTCATTCTAAGTGTTTTTACAAATTACTATATTAAAACTACCATACCTTCATATTCAGAGATGATAACCTTGACTTAATAAAGAGTATCTTGTAAGGTTTGCAAGAATATAAGATCGAAATTCATACTAGTAAAGGTAAGGTTTAAAAAAATTAATCTTTTTTTTTCTTTAAAGATTTTATTTGGTTATCGTATTAATCATTTGATGTTCAGGTTCAAATTATCTAATTAATTTTTTAAGCTTTAAATTTTATTTAATAATTCAAATTTTATAACTTCATTTATTAAATTTTAATAAAATTTCAAATATTATTAAAAGTTAATTTTTTTTGAATATGAATGCGTTGAGGTTTAAAAGTTAAATTTGAATTATTTTGTTGAGTAAAATATAATGACTGATTTTCATAATTAAGAATTTCAAAAATAGCAGATTTTCTATCAATATTTTTACTTCTATCCTTCATAGTTTTTCTAAAAAAAAGTGAAACTTGATCATGGTTTTTTTTTCAACTACTGCACAAGAAAATGCAGCTAAACCAAAATTTTTATAACGCTCCATAAATTCAGAGATGTGGTGAACCAGGATATGCATATATGAAGTAACGTCTTTCAGACGATAGAGATCTTTTTTGAAAGAAATTGTATTCAGTTCGCCTTTATGTAGCGTAAGAAATAAGTTGAACTATTTTTTTATTTGAATTGCGAAGGAAGCAAAATCAATTTCTGGTTCTTTCATAAGTTTGTAAATTATATAAAACTCTCTCCACAAATTATTAATTAGCATAGCCCGTTTTTCATTAAAAATAACTTCAAAATTGAAGTCATGCAATATCTTTTCTTTATCGGTTCCCATTAAAGATGTATAAGACCAATCTTGCGTATTATAATCTTGCCAAAAATTAAAAGTAACTGAGATTCTTTGCATTTCTTTACATATAACTGTTCTTAGGTATTCATCAAATCAGGTTTCAGATCTGAGTTCCTGAATAACTAGCAACCAAAGATGATCCCATATTCTCAACATAATATAGAGTTCATCAGGAACATAACAATCCAAAGGGATCATCATTAGAAAAGGAATTTTGAGTTGACCTAGCAGTAAATTTGAAATTTGTGATTTGTTATTAAAAAACTCTAATTTAAGTAAATCCATGCTTCTCTCAATTTTATATACCTTGTCTTTATTCCCAATGTCTTTTTTAGTGCAAAGGCACCAGGGACAAAAATAATTTGAGTTCAGAGTGTTAAACCCTAGTATAATTGCCATAAACTTCCAATCACTACTAAAATGGAATTTAACTTTCCAATTTATACTGTTTGAATCTATTAGTCTATTTGTAGTCAAATTATATAATTCATCACTTATAGGTTGCAGTACTTTTTTTAACATATCATAATTTTCACTTCCTGGATAGAGAATTATAGTATAATGATAATCAGCATTATGAACATTTGAAATATCATCTAAAATAGTAAATGTGATCATAACATGTTTTATCTTTTTACTCACATTACGTCCGTCATCTGATATTCGAGCATTAATTATTGAATTATTTGTATTGAGAATATTTCGTTTTATAAGATCTGGAATTATAAAGAGCATAATATCTGCAATTTGTCTATAATCTGCTTTGCCAATATATTTTAAGACCTCCTCAAATTCTTGATTAATATCTACAAATAAGGATAAAATTGCTCTATCAGATAAAAAAAGGTTTCATTTAAGTGTCACTAAGTGAAACCTATAATTATAAAAAATCATAATTTATTTTTAGAATTACAGGTTTCACTTAGTGACACTTATTTCTAGTACTAACTGCAAGATTTAAACTAAATTTCACCTCACCTATATCAATATCGGGAGGTTTATCAATATCTAAAATGAAAATAGATACTTTCTTACTCATTTCCTCATTAATTCTCTTTCTAGTATTTGCAATATTATATTCTCGTAGTAATTCAGGTTGGAGAGCGGCCAAGTATCGAAAAGCATCTTGGGATATTGGACCTTTGTCAATAACCTTAGTAAATAAGTCAAAAGATTGGTTTTCTTTTTCACTATCTCTTTTACGATAATCAGCTAAGTAATTTTTGCCTAAAACATTAAATCGAACTTCTTGCAAAACTAGTTGATCAATTATGTTATAAAATTTGAGAACTTCACTATTAAAAGCTTTGCCTATTTGTGTAGAAAATACACAGACTTGTTTGGTTTTCATAGATTCGCTTAATGTGTCAAATAGTTTGAAAGAATTAGATTGTCTTTTTTTTTTTTTTTTTCTCGTTCTTTTTCTATATTAGTAGTATTAAGGCCGAATATATGTATTCTAGAAATTGTTGCACAGGTATTAAGACATTTTTTCTATACCAAACAAAATTTATGAAAAACAGATCTTATAGACAGAGATGGCAATTAGACAATTAGACATATAAAAATTGCATGAATTGGATATTTGGAATATAAAATTCTATATGAGTGCTGCCAAGGGAAAAAGGCCATTCGGACTTTCAATATATTTTGTGTACAGTTATCCATCTACAGAAAATTTACTATGATGATAAATTTTCTATAGACAGTTGACTATACACAAAATATATTGAAAGTCTGAACAGCTTTTTTCTCTTGGTAGCACTCATATATCCAATTCAAGCTAAAATAATCAGATATATAAGCATTGTCATCCTTACTTATAGAGCCATATAAACTTTTTTTTTGGTTTTCATAACATAAAAATTTTAAAATTGAATAGCAACCCAATTTCTTTTTTTATTTATATACATATATAATTTTACTTTTTCTTCTTAAGAATTTATCAATAATTGTGATAAAAGAAATTTCAAAACTCATAAAAATTGTTCTATTTATGTTATGAAAACCAAAAATTAATTTTTATATGATCGAGTAAAAACTATAAAAATTTTATTAAAAATTATACTAACTTGTAAATAATTATTAGAAGCCGCAGTTGGAGATTTTTTTGATTCTATTACATATTTCTGAGAATTTTCTTCGAATTTAATTCTAAAAATTGGCTCATCAAATTCATATTCAATTTCACACTCTACTATATATTGTGATTTTCCTCTGCTCTAGCTAGTTTAAACTAAATAATCATCTAGAATTTTATATTTAATTCCCTTACGAGAATACGCCAAAGTATAACGTATTTTACTTTCTGGTAGTTAAAATCCTTCATTAATGATGTAATATTTATAATTAGTATTATTTTGTTTAAGCAAAAAAGGATTATTCACAGGATATTTATTTTGATCAGATATCATAACTTGCGAGAAGCAAAGACCATGTAAATACTTTTTGTGAAAATACCTTGTTACATTTTTTAAATATTAATCCTGTTACTCAAATTTTTTATCATAATTCAACTGGTTTTAACCAGTTGCATTACTGTATTTATTATCACATGTTTGTTTAACAAGATAATCAATTACTTGGTAATTATTTTTGAACTTTAGTGGTTATTTAATAAATGAGTGTCGCCAAAAGAAAACCCGAAAATTTAAATATGATTTATATTTAATTTTTGGGTTTTCTTTTAACAACATTCAAATATACTATTATAAAATTTTAGTTCACGTTCAAAAATAGTTACCCATATTAGAGTGTCATCAAAGTAAAAAAGGTACTGCGTACTTTAATTTTGAAGTTATTTTTAATAAAGAACGGGCTATGCTAATTATTAATTTGTAGAGAGAGTTTTATATAATTTACAAACTTATGAAAGAACTAGAAATTGATTTTACTTCCTTCGCAATTCAAATAAAAAAGTGGTTGAACTTATTTCTTATACTATATCAAGGTGAACCAAATTCAATATCTTTTAAAAAGGTTTTTGTCATTTAAAGATTTAAACCATATAAGAAGCAACTATCTTTTCTGATAGAAATTCTATATAATCATTTATCTTAGAAATATACGATCCAGCATCCAAGTTAAGATCACAGGTATTATTCTTATTTATGTTTATCTGTTGTTATCATAACTGCGAATTTATCTAAATTCATCTCTCTTTACTAATTATTCATGCTAGGCTAATGAAGTTTTGAAGTCATATTTATTTTTAATACTTTATAAGGAGGCGATAAGCTTTTTATGTATTCATCATCATCTACTTCCAAGATTAGATAACACTATACTTGCTAGCAAAATGGCAAAACCTGGACAAATTCAAAAAAACAATTGCTATTTATAAAAAATTGAATCAAAAAAATAGTATTGAAATTTTGCTAATATATTATATATAACTATAAGAATATATAATATTTGTTTGAATAAGAATTATTAATTAAATTTTTGAGATATGAATTTGGCCAGAGTTTGGGATTTGGGTGCAAACAAACTAATTTTATAATAGTTTGGGATTTTGCCAACAAGTATAGATAACACTGTCGAACTCGTTATTATTAAACTATACATATTAACCTTTCGCTCTTCGTTGGTGCCTTAAATTAAGATCAATGGTTGTAAATTATCACAATACCTATAACACTTCCTTTATAATAATAATAATAAAAATGCAAGACTGAAAAATATCATCGATAAGTAAGTTTTATTAACCAAAATATTTGATTGTATTAGGCTCTTTAATTGTGTAACAAAAATATATGGGACTTTTACTAATAAAAATTAAAATCTGAATCATATGATTCACCATTTAGGATCTTAATCTCTTTAGGAAAGATCCCATATATCGAAAGTATTATATTCTCCCCGCACTAACTTAACACAGATCTATTTTACTCTAGGTACTAATACGAACTTGGCCTATAGCCTATTTATCCAAATACGGTTTCATTTTTTTGTATTTTAAAGCCTTTAATTTGATAGGTTACTTTACAGGAATTGATGCAAAATATTTGACAGTTCAGGCATTGCCACGTTTCCAGACTCATTTAATATATACGCATATTTTTTCATGTTTTCATAACTATGATATTTTTCTAATAAGCAGAATGGAGAAGAAAATGGGTTCCACCTGTACAAAAAGTTATTTTACCACAATATTTAGCTGCAATAAGAGTAGTGAATGGTATAATACTATTCATTTATCATATTTTTAAAAATATTATTTTTATTATTTCACTAAATAAACTAATTGAAGTTAAAAAGGATGAAAAGGATAATCGCAAGTCATATATTTATTATCAAAAATCTGCAGAGACGAGAGACTTCAATAGAATCTTTCAAGTTGCCATTGAAAAAGATGAAAATGAAGCATTTGTTCACTTTCAAAAAGTTTTCAAGATGGGTTATATTCTTGGAACGAATAAAGTTGATCTATGTAATAAAATAGACTCGAAGTTGAAAAGGATGAATAAGGTATTTGTTTACTTTCAAAAGCTAAGAAATTGAAAAGGATATTTGAATCTAGTCATCATTATAGAATGAATATATATAACTTTGTTATAAAAAAAAACTTTATTGTAGGTATTCACTCATTATCAAAAATCTGCTAAAATAAGGAATACTAGTGGAATGCATAATGTTTGCATTGTTATCAAAATGGAATTAGATTTGAAGATAAAAGTAAAGAATTTGTTTGTTATCAAAAATCTGCTTAGGTGAGAAATTCTGATGGAATAGTCATGCCTGGTTCTCTTAAAATTTAATATTTGTACTATATTATTTTCATTAAATATT